TTTTTAAAAAAAAAAAAAAAAAAAAAAAACAGAAAAAGAGATGCATAATGTGAACTGTAGAGTGAGTAACGAAGAAGAGTTTATCTTGAAAATTTAAGAAAAATCATTGTGTACTGTGTTCTAGAGTGGGTTAAGTTTTATATCTTCAGATGGAATAAGGAATATATTTAAATTAAGAAATTATTTTATTATATACGGAAAATTTAAGAAAAAAAAAATCATATACTTAATGGTTAAAGAAAAGAAAAAAGAAAAAGAAAATTCTATAACCTAATCGAACGGTTGATATTCGCGCTTGCTAAATATCAACCGTCCGATCACACCACTATCCAAAAACCCTACTTTTCAATTGCCGTCTCCAACTCTGCAAACCCTACGTTTCCCGCATCACTCTCCAAAAACCCTAATTTTCCCCTTGCAAATTGTCTTCCAACTCTCCGAAACCCTAAGTTCCATCGCGATCAAATCGTCTTCCAACTCTCTGAAACCCTAAGTTTCCCATCGCGATCAAACCTGTAACTCTCTCCAACATGGACCATCTGAAACCTGCAACTGGGACCATTTGAAACCTGCAACTCTCTCCGACAGGCATGGACCACTCGCCAACTCTTGTCCCCACTCCTCTGCGGACCAGGCCGTTGACATTCCAATGACGCCGCCCGGCGTTCGTAGCAGCGCCACCGGTACAGCACATTCATTCTCGTGAATAGTTCTTAAACTTTTTTTTTTTTTTTTTTTTTTTTTTGCCATTTTCTGCTTCTCGGTTGTATGTGGTTATACATCTCTTCGTTACCTTCCGATTTCAATTAACCAAGTCATTGGTGTTAAGACGCTGTTTTTTTCACTTGTAAAAAGGAGTCTGCTGAGGTTTATCGATTTACATATGTTGTTTGAGATTGTTTTGGCCATTAACAGTGAGCCGTTGTTTCATTTGTTTGAGTTTTTTTGGTGTGTGCTTATTCCCGTCGTTGAAATCTGTGGTTCAGGGAATATTGTCATTCTTTCAAATGGTCGTATCTGTGTTCTGATTGTATTTTTCCAACATAATTTTGGTGGGTTTGTGAGAATAACACTCAACCAATTTCTTCAAATGAAAAGTCATAGTTTAGTTAAGATTTTCAAACCGCATATGATGAGGAGGATGGATTAGTTTGATTTATGTTCTTTTCATCAAATATCCTGCTTTTCATTTGCTAGGATTATAAGTTTGATTCCAGTTACAGAAACCAATTTCCCTCCAATCTTGGATTAAGATTTGAATCTTCCAACCTCACTTATTGTTGAACTCAAAAGCTTCTTCCAATCTCAAAAAAATCAAGAACCAAGTTTTAATCCTTAGAACTGAACCCTGCATATTCAAAAAACCTACTCACCTCCTTACTATTATTGGTAACCAAAATGAATTCAGATATCTCTACCCTAGTGTATAACCTATAATTCAATTTATTTTCAATTAGAATATGAAGAACCTAGTGTATAACCTATAATTCAATTTATTTTCAATTAGAATATGAAGAACCTAGTGTATAACCTATAATTCAATTTATTTTCAATTAGAATATGAAGTCAATTTTTCTGTTTATTTTACTTTTTCTGTTTTTTGGTTGTGATAATTTAATATAAAGACTATCACAATTTCTTAAATCATATAAGTAGAATAAGTTCAAATGTTTCAAATATAAAAAAATCAAAACTAATACCAATTGTTGTTTTTTTTTTTGAAATTGTAATGTTATATAAACTTTATATTGTATTAATATATAATACATGATATTTAACAAAAATAGTTATAGAAAGATATTAGAAATTAGTTCAACGTTTAAATAAATTTGTATTTGAGAGTAATTATTGAATTATTTATAAAGGAAAAGAGTTCTAAAGTATTCTTTTTTTTTTTCTGTAATTTAGTATTTTCTTTTAAGGTTGATCTTGAACCCACCTACTCAAATCGGATATTGGAATTCGAATATTCAACTTTCATAATTTTTCATGAAAATAAAATTTTATCTCCATATTTTATATTGAAATAAAATTTTACAAACAAAGTGAAACAATGTATAAAAGTAACCCTACCACAATTTAGTCCATATATTTTATCATTTATGATAATTTAATCATATTATAAAAAATATAGTTAAATTAATAGAATTTCTTACCTATATTTGATTGGATAGATAGTTCCATGTTAATGATCTTAACAAAATTAAAAATGAAAGCGGGCAAATAATACAAAATAGAGTTGAGGGTAATCAGTTATATATATTTAAGACATTGATATATTATTTTTATATTTGATAAATTTTTTTAATAGTAAATATGTATGAGGATAAAATTGATAAATGTGTATATAAACAATTTTTATATTTGTTATATTTGATATCTATTAGTGACATGGGTAGAAAATAGTATAAATATTAAATAAAAATAATAAACTAGTATATTAAAGACATACGAGAGAATCAACAAAATTTCTAAATTAGATTACAAGGAATAATACAACTAAAGAGAAAAAAAACACAAATAAATATGAATCTCAATCCTTAAGATCTTTGGAACATATTGTTGGGATGATCCAAATAGGTGGAGGTAAATTTTCATGTGTAGGATCCTGTATGTAATGATCACCAAAATCTTTATCTTCTAAGTAGAATATACCTGAATCCTGGACTAAATTAGGAACACAATAGTTACAACCATTCATGAAATATATACAATTTGGTAAACATTTACGAAAATCCTTAGTTGATACACATATGGATTGAGAGTCGCCGATAAACATAGCATCCCCATCTAAACTCTTAACCTTTATGGCCTTTCGCATGCCATTTTCACGCTCTTCAGTAAGTTTGTAAACTTTAAACTTGTTAGTCTCTAATTGTGTTTCCTCTACCGATATTGACCTCAAAACTAACAAAAGCTCTCCTTTGGAAGACACTGTAATATTAGATCTAGTTAGATCATCGATACTTTTGGTGTGGACCGTCCTTACAGAAATAGAAATCAATGAACTTTCATCATTTCTAATCTTAACTTCAACTTTCCAAATCATCATATCAACTCCTGAAGCATATATAGTATCACCATAAACATTAACATCACTAAAAGGAATATTTGGTTCTGGATAGTAATACGTCCAACTCTTGTCATTTGATCTCATAAGGCACAACTTCGCACATGAACCATAGATAGCTACAACCATATAATCATTTGGATATAATGATGGATCTTTGGTTAATATAGCTTTCACTATGCGGTCTGGAGTATAATCAGGTTCATCCTCTATGAAAATGGAAGGAAGACGAATCACAGTCCCAGAAAAAGGATTGAATAAAGTAAGATCGAGTGTCTCTTCACACATGATCAACCAACCAAAAGAGGAGCCACAACACCTTTTGTTGAAGCAAAATTTGAAGTCAACAGGACGGGTTCTATTTTTTCTGGGGTCGTATAAGCAATGCTGCTTTTCAAGACCATCTTTCGAGGGAACGATGAGCATCGGCAGTTGAGGAAACTTGGAGGTAATTATGGATCGTTGGTGTTTGTGTCGTAATGCAACAAAATACCATGACTTACATACGAGGCTGAATTGGAGATAATCATAGAGAGACACCATCTTGTTGAGAATCACACCGAGAACATCATATTCAAGCGTTGTCCAATCTCGAGACTCAGAATAATCCATGATATATATATTTTTTATCCCTTCACAAATGATGCAATTGAAAATAAAATAGAATTAGAATATCTTTACTATGTTTTAAAATATCTTAAAACTAAACAAGGGGGGGGGGGGGGGAA